TTGTGGGGGCGCCCAATAGCTGAATGGTTACAGCATGGCACACCATTTACACATGCACAGTGTGCAAGATGCTGCTATCACTCTGTCTCCCTCCTTGCCTGTCTGCCTCTCCATAACCTACTAATGTGCTAATAAATAAAGGTAAAATGTGTGTATATATATATGTTTACTGATGGCCACTTTATTAGGTACACCTGTACCACTGTATGCCCTTCAATCCAACACTTCTACCTTAACATCTGTGTTTATGAAGCTCACAATGTTTCAGTTTTTGGTGAAATTGTCATAAATGTATAAATTCAATTCTATGTCTATTATTGAGGTCATAGTTAAAAGTGGTGTTTTATTGGACTACATTATGCTCAGAGGTGTCTCTATATTTTGTCCTCCCTGGTTACATACATGAGAAGGTCAAAATATTAGGAACACCTCTGACTAAAATGTAGTTCAGTACAACACCACTTTTAACTATAACCTCAATAATAAACATAGAATTGAATTTATACCTTTATGACAATTTCACCAAAAACTGACACATTTTGAGCTTCAAAAGCACAATGTTAAGGCAGAAGTGTTGCATTGAAGTGCATATAGTTGTTCAGGTGTGACTGTTAAAGGGACTGGCAAGTATATGTTCATAATGTTTACATTCAGCAATAAAATTTATAATTCAAATCCATTTCTAGTCATTTGCACATGATAAAATGCAGTTTTAAAACAACAGTTTGCATAGCCTCATAACATCCATGTAAAGAATCACTGTGCAATATCATAATAATATTCTCGCAGTCTTGGCTCAACAACAGCAAATCCAGGCCTTTCATCTGCCCTGCAAGACATGAAATAACAATTAATGATCAAAATGAGATCTCCTAACTTATCTTTCCTGTCTGGTGTAAGATGGGAACTGTTGTTGGACCCATAATTACCTTAAAAACAACTTGTCACTTACTTATATGTCCAGCAGGTCCTCATGAGGTCAAACATCTCTGGTGGACAGTTCCCTGGGGCATCCATCCGCTTTCCACTTTCAATCATTTGCATGACATCATTTCCTTTCATTCCCTGTGAGAAGTGATAGACATTGCTCAGAATGGAAAGCTAAATGGTCAAAAGGAACGGAAAATGGTGGAACTCATACAAAATAATATGAAGGAATTTTTCATGTAGAAAGTTAAATGGTCAAAAGGAACGAAAAATGGTGGAACTCATGCAAAATAATATGAAGGAATTTTTCATGTAAGTAGTGACAGTTACTCCTAGAGAAAAGTAATCAGACTGCTCATTGCATGACCCTAAAGTTACACCCTAAAAGGATTGTAACACATGCAGATGATGAGTCAATACAATGTGTAGAAGAAGTTGTGTAAACACCACAAGTGACCTACAAGTTCAAAAACTATTTGTGTTTTGGTTTATGTGATGCTTTTATCTAAAAACATAAACAGCAGTAGCAGCTTTTTTACTTGCAGGTGGTGTCAGTGATATGTTTACATCTGCTACATCATCAGTTATCTTTTTAGGGATGGTGTGACAATGACAAGGCCCCCCAGCCCCCACAGTGTCATCATTTTGCAGGTTGGTTAGTGAGTGTTTATACCTTGTATGGTTTCTGGCCGTAGGAGTAGGCCTCCCACATGAGCACCCCAAAGCTCCACACATCACTCTTTGATGAAAATTTCAAGTAGTTTATACACTCAGGAGCATACCATTTCACTGGCCACTTCCCATGACCCTTGGCCTGGGGGAAGAGAGACACACAAAACATCATACTATTGGATATGACAAAGCTAAGTAGGTAGGTAGATATTGTGTATTTCTTGATATTTATTTGTTATAACCTTAAATTTAATGTTTTCCCCTTTTTACTCCATCTGATGCTACTAGATTATTTGAATTTCCCTCTTTAGGATCAATAAAGTATCTGTCTATCTATGTAATCCAGTGTATATATACCTGCCTCAAGATTAGATTAAACTAGAGATACTGAGCTGACCACAGGTTTTTCCAAGTTTCTGCAAAGGCAAGAACGTGTCACAGCTTCTGGCTTATTTCATCCTATGTGAAGCAACGTGTGGTGCAATGATGACAAATAAATAAATGGTCATTTTTTTGCTACAAAATGGAAAAATGAGCCATGTAAAACACCCTATGTCCACCCTTGTAGATATTTGTCACTTACATTTGTTATGCCAGTAGCCATGATTAATGTCAATGTGTTTTTGGAATGAGAAAATGTGGGTGAACAATGTTAAACACCAAGTTCTTTGCATATGCTCATTATTAACAACTTGCTTTGATAATTTCAGTGCTGGTCACAAAGACAGCTGTAAGCAATATGACTATTCTGATCCCACTCTGCCATTTAGCTGTACCTACAACAAAAAAGCTGTATCTATCACTTTTTGTTGCTGTCAGCAGTTACCTTGTAGTAGTTCTGATCCTCAGCCACAGCTTTGGAAAGACCAAAGTCACTGATTTTGGCATAGTGCTGTGTAACCAGCAGCACATTCCTGGCAGCGAGGTCTCTGTGGACAAAGTTATGTTCCTCTAGGTACTTCATCCCCATAGACACCTGGTGGACCAGTTCTGTGATGTTCTTTATGGATGTTTGCCTGTAGACAATCAAGTGTTACTTTAACTATTAAAGAAATTGTAAACTTGAAGTGATATAGTTAGACAGGCCGATCATATACAACGTTCTGGGATGCCTTATATTCTCAGCATTCTGTAGTTTTCACAATGGTCAGCTTTTAAAACAGGAAGAAGCCTGGTTTGTCAACAAATGAATTAACTTTAACCTGTTTCTGTGATTTTCATGACCATGTTCTCTCCCAGTTTGGAATGCTCAACGCAGATTTATTACCGCTAACTCTTCTAATGGATATGTACGGTCCATCAATGACACAGATAATACACATAGAAAGACCCCTGCATTCACATCTAAAAGTCATTTACAGTTACCAATTCACTTGACCAATATAGAGGACACTGGAGCATCTGTTACTTTAAGGCAAATATGTTAACCAACAGAATCACTGATATTCCATCAGCATTGCTACATAAGAAAGCCGTACAATCTGGGCTCAGCCTCAAAACAGAAATCATGTGCAGTGGTGGAAGAAATCCTCGGATCCTTTACTGAAGTAACAGCAGAAATACCACAATAAAAAATACTTGGTTACAAATAAAATTCCTGCATTCAAAACTTAAGTAAAAGTATGAAAGTATTAGCATCAAATTATATTTGAAGTACCAAAAGTAAAATTACTCCTTACGCAGTATTTCATTATTATATATATTTAGGGGTTTGTATAATAATTTTGGATGAAAACGCAATAAAAGAGCAAGACAGATATAGTGTCAACTAACTGGGCATTATTAGTGACAAAGATAACTTGATTAACAAAGGAACACTATGGCTGATACCAAAGCAAACAGAGAGAGAAACCTCATGCTAAACAATAGAACAAAGGCTTAAGTAATACTCATACAGCTAGAACACAAATGCCAGAACAAAAACAAGACTCTCTAAAAGACAAGTCCATGATCAAACTAAATAAGATAACAAAGCATCTTAACACTTGTGAAGTTTGACAAAAAAGTCAGTCCAGCAAAAAGCAAGGACACATGGAGGAACATAAAAATGAAGGAATGAAAGCTGGGCTGAATGATGAAGGTCACACAGGCGCTTCCTTAGGGGACGTTCTGGCAGTTAATGGATGTGGGCTGCTGCCTTTTGTACTAGCTAGTGATTACAGATGGCACTGGGTCGGCCCGGGCTCGAACCTGGAACCTTCTTGCTGTGAAGCGGCAGCACTAACCAGTTTTCTCACCACGTTTGCAATAATTATATGGCTTCTTGTTACGCTGATCAATTCTGTAGTAGGCCTATATTTTCACCATTCTCACTAAATGTTGTGTTGACAAGCACACTGGCCTATCATATTGGCTAAAAGGTTGCTCGTCCTCACGTATTTGTTGTCTTAGCTGAGCTAAGCTTAGCTGACTAGGGCAACTTGGGTAACTACGATGAATGAATAACCATGTTATTAACCTGTTTTTTTGCAGGAACTTGTTGAGTGGTCCCAGTTCAGCCAGCTCCATGACCAGCATGAGGTTTTCAGCCTCACAGATACCGATCATCCGGACGATATAAGGATTGTCAAGCTGCTGCATGACATTGGCTTCTCGCAGCATTTCATCCCGTACTGCTGGGTTGTTGTCATCATTCTTCAGAATTTTTACTGCAACTGGCTTCTCTGTCCTATTGCACACATAGGGTTAGAATGACTGTGCCACCTGGTTTGATTTGACACTGTAAAAATATTTTGGTTCGTAAAGATTTTTTAGACAATACAAGCAAAGATCAGTTGGTAACACAACACAGGGTTTTAGAACAGAATAAGCAGCAGAGGGAACTGCAGCTGAAATTTAACTTCAGGAGAAAGCAGGAGTAAAATTTGTGGCACTGCTGTCAGCATGTCAGCTGTTCTTCATTTGACACCTCACTGGAGTTAATATCACCTTTGTGGGGGAAGAAGATATTTGTAACTCTCATCGCTCATCAGAGGAAAATGTGACGGACCTTTACAGGCTTTCAGGTCAAACTATGTTTCAGTTATTGAATGAAATAAAAGATGAGTTGACTGGCAGAAGACTGGTCTCTTCAACCATATTAAAGTTCAGCTACACTTTCCTCTACACTCCACACATGTGCAATACAGCTGCAAGTTGTAAACAGCTGTGTATTCAAATGAATACAGCTGTGATTATGCTCATTTAGCCTACAACATCAGTGTTGGGAAATATGGTGCTAAACTGAAAAATTGCAGTGCAGCTATATTTTATGCACCTGTTGGTAATTTGTGACAGATTTAGTAAATATTCCCTAGAGTGTACAAGTAAGGTTGCAGCACAGATTTAGATTTTTGAGTGTGTTATAGCAGTGGCATTGTGAAGCATCCAAGAAGTTAGAGGCATGATAAATAGGAAGAGGAATCATAGGGAGAAATCAGATGCTGTTTTCATCAACTTTACAGGTTGACCTTTTCACACACCACCATGCACAACACACGCACACACACTCTGTGTTTGCATACCTTGTGGGGACTTTACATCAACTTACTTTCATTTCCTGTAGACTTATCTTATCCTTAACCATAACCACTACTTGCCACCCTAAATTTAATGATGGGCAAGTCCCCACAATGTGAGTGTGTTAACAGGTTTCGGTCCCCATAATGTATGTATGGGGTAATGAAAAGGTTAATTTGCCAAGTTGACAAAAACAGCATCCTTTTTCCATCTCATTAATTACATACTGGGTAATAAAAGCAAAGGAATGGTGTTGTGTGTTGGTGTGATGTGTTTCAGCATACTTTCTCATCTTGTAGATGCCCTTCATGACTGTACCAAAGTTTCCAGAGCCCAGTTCTCCATCCTCCAAAAACAGGTGATTGCGATCCACTGTGGAACTCCTCAGTTCATCCGGGTCTGCATATGGACTCTCATATACCTCTGTATCCATTGGCATGGCCTCTGATGGAGAAATGACCATGTTACTACTGAGGTGGGAAACTTACAGTCCTAGGTTAAATGCATTCAAACTCACTTTCATTTAAATGTAGTTTCCCTTTGTTAGTTCAGTTAGTCCAGCTACTTCAATGATCGCAGAATAATAGTAGAGAGAATTGTTTAGCTTTTATTTATTTTCTCACATTCTCTGAGGGTCAAAAGTTGAACTATACTTTGTTAATATTTGGCAGCAATGCCTTTAAATTTAGTACTTTTAATCACATCACAACATGATGCTGCCAATGTAATGGAAATTATTTTATATGATATGATAAATCAAACTCTGTTTTCTGTTTTTCTTTTATGAGTATGCCTGTACTCTCTACGGAATTGAAGTTAGGTCAGGACACCGCCCTGGGTGAACAGTGAACACAATCATAGGGAAAACATATCAGGACATTAGCTTGGTCACGAATGGACAATGGCCCCAAGCAGACTTCCAAAGTTGTGGCAAAACGGCTTAAGGACAACAAAGTCAAGGTACTGGAGTGGCCATCACAAAGCCCCGACCTCAATCCAATAGAAAGTTTGTGGGCAGAACTGAAAAGCATGTGTGAGCAAGGAGGACTACAAACCTGACTCAGTTCCACCAGTTGTGTTGTGGAGGAATGGGCTAAAATTCCAGCAATTTATTGTAAGAAATCCCAAAATGTTTGACCCAAGTTAATAATTTAAAGCCAATGATACCAAATACTAACAGAGTGTATTTAAACCTCTGACCCACTGGGAATGTGATGAAAGAAATATTTTTCTCTACTATTATTCTGACATTTCATAAATAAATTAGTGATCCTACCTGATCTAAAACAGGAAATGTTTATAGGATTAAATGTGAAGGAGTTGTGAAAATCTGAGGTTAAATGTATTTAGCTAAGATGTATGTAAACTTCTGACTTCAATTATAACTAGAGACCAACAGCTGAGAAAAATCAATCTGCCTAAAACAATTCTGTCAAAAGTAGTAAAAGATATCCTTAAATGATCAGACAAAATCAGGTGGAATAATTTACTACATGCATCAGAAATGAGATTTTAGAAACTAGAACTGTTAAACAAAATGGTTTTTAAAAAGTGGCCTAAAGTTTGGAAAAGCAAACCGTTTTTACAGTGTACTTGACCATGGTAGGCTGACTGAATATAAATACACTGTTGTATATAGGCTACTTTACATAAAAAAAATTATATTAGATTAGCAGGTAGTAATTAGCAGGTAGTAATTTAATATATGGAACATAATAAAATTCTTAATATTATGCAGCAAATGAGAAATAAGTGTATTGAACATGGAAAAATACTTTGAGCAATGTGCAATCAGTGTACATATTTTCTACATGTTAATCAAGAATTGTTAAATTTTTCTGAAAAAGATGACAATACAATAAGTAAGCGCAGAATGACCCTGTGAAAGAAAGTTGTCTTGGAAGAAGAGTGTGCAGGGGAGTTAATATTTAAATAGTACCAGGTTAGCAGCAGCAACTGAACAACAGTATAGTCAACTTCTTGTTGAATACAGGACACACATCTATCTTGTTATGTTCTATAACTTACCTTTGTTGACTGCTTGATTACCGAGCACCTTCGTTTCATAAACATTATCTTTGTTTGGTCGGGATCCCCAGCTCTGTTATCAGTTTATCACAAAGACAATGTTTGAGAGAGAGTGAACAAATGAAACATTTTCACATGGTGCAGTGCTGGAATATAATCTGCAATGAGTGAAGTCTTAGGCAACAATAAGATATTTCTCTGGGAATGCAGGATGCCACCCTTTATATGGAACCTATATTATAGTGATAGACTGAAGAAAATTAAGAACATTTTGGAATTGAAGTATTGGAGAAAAACGTTAAGTCTACTTATTGGCAAAAGGTTAATACGATTGAGTTTAACGAATACATCTTCATTCATCGCCAGTTTTTCAGTCAGTCACTGTAATACATGGTGTCCATTAAATGAGACATTGTAATGCATACATAAGATTTAGTAGAAGCGAATAAATACATGAGGTTATCATTTTAATTCCCATGTATTTAAAGGAGGGGTATGGAACAAGTTTATTAAGTGCTTTAATAACCATATGTTTCTCAGACCGTTGTACTATCTTAAGGTCAATGATCTCTTATCTTTGAAGCACACACTATGTCCCACACCACTGCTTTAAAAACTGTTCACAACCAAGAACCGTTTTTGAAACTCTAGTATCTGTGGCTAGAGTGTCGTAGAAAAATTATTTTAAAGCAATGACATTTATCAAATTTGGACATGATGAACTGAAAAAATGATAAGGTGATATGCAAAAAGTTCCTAGGTTAGCAAAGCTAGGTAAAAAAAAAGTTAAAAGTGTCAGGCAGAATTATTTTCAGGGGCTGCCTCCTTCAAAGATGACAATCAGCATGAAGGTGATTCAGTTTCAGAACCTGGCCTCACAGGGGCCCATTTTACAATTTTAGTTGCTCCTCCTTTCATTTCCACAGTTCAAGACCACATCATTACAAGCTGACAAGACTGAGCAAAACCTTTGGTTTCCTGTATCTCATGAGGAATGTCTCGCCTCAAATTTGACAAAACATCAAATGTTAATGTGGTTTTAGGTTAAGGATTAGGTTAGTTAGATTAGTGTTTCATATATGTTCAAGAAAGAAACTGATATAAAAATACAATTAACTATTAATGTTTCTGGATATGACTGTGTATCTCAGTATAGATTAAGGAAACCACAGACAACAGGCCAAGTCCAATAAACATTACAACAGATGTGTTCTGAAGTGAAGTCACATCCGACAGGGTAACCTCATCTTTTCTTCTACCATGTTGACTTGACTACTTCCCATCTGCTCTGTTTTAGAAACAGGTGTTTTAGTATCTATTTCTATATCAGACTATTCACTCTTTGTTCCTGTTAATGTGCTGCTCTGATAACACATATGTTGGAGTTTATTAATGTTTTCTAAAGAGATGTCTCGATACAATACTAAGCCAATCCAGGCATAATTCACAAGATTAATTTCAGTCTAATAAGTATCAGATTACTAAGTACTAAATCCTGACTAATACATGATTTGATTCTCCTGCATAATCTGGATCTGATTGGTTTGTGTGAAACTTGGCTTAAACCAAATATTTTCCTGCCATTAAGTAATTAAGTTCCAGGAATGTGAGGCGGTTCGTGTGCACAGAGCAGTCGCCCATAACTGGTTAAACGTCCATGTCTTCACATCTCAACTATTAGCATTACAAGCATGTGGCCTAAGACATTTTGAAGCCCCTTCCATTCAGAGGCCCCAGAAAGGCTCAGGACATGACATGATACCTAATATGGCCTTGGTCTTATTCCCAGGGCCTCAAACACATGTAGTCTGCCAGGGGGCCCTGGATGTTGCCTGAGGCTTTCTAAGCCCCCTGTATGGCCCATAGCCTTGGACCCACAGGAGTCTAAGAAAACTTAACATTGTCAGGGGCCCTCAGATGTGGCCAAACGGCCTTAAAAGAAGACATTGAGCAGCCTCAAAAGGAATGTGGCCTGTGTCCTTCCGAGGCCCCTGGCAGTCAGAGGCCCTGTGGCACTGGCCCCACTGGCCCGGCACACAATCCAGCCTTGCATGGGAATATTGCTTTTATGGTATTATGGGGAAATTAAACTGCCCTGTGGTGGAAGTTTGCACTCTTTCTGTCTAGTAACTTAGATGATGGTTACTTTAACCCAAAACCAAATATTTTTCTACAGGTAACCCAGTAGTTTTGGATCCTAAACAAAATCAACATGTTTTATGTATAAACCCAATGAAACTGTGACAGTTCCACAACTGAAAAAGATGTTTACAATTTTTTTCATGACACAAAGGTCTGCTATGCTTAGGAGCTGTGTCTTCCTGGTCAGAGGAACATGTGGAGGAGCTTTTGGAATAGTACAGTCAGATTGATAAAATGACTGTTCTTGACAAGCACACATAGAAGGAGGCTGCTACTGAATGAGACAAAACATAACCTCTGGATGGTGTTAGACTGCCATTATCAAGTAGTCCAACTATTATGAAGTCACACACTGCAGTTGCATAGATTTATGTATGCAGTCAAGCTCTAGCTGTGAAACAATGTGCTTTGGGATGGAGGAATGTGATAAAGCAGAGCATGACAAGCATGACAAGACATGGCATGATAAGCACAAGCATGACTCTGTATGTAAGTAGCAAAATCACATGGTAAGGAGTTAAAGCAGGGTTAAAGATTGCTTAGGTTTATGGGACAGAAATGTGTTTGTGCACCTTTTTTCGGCCAGGTATTTTCATTTTGGAGAAAAATCCACCAGCTGCAGTGTGCTAGAAACCAAAATGGTTATCAGTAAGAGGTTATCAGTAAGTAACCTGGTAATGTATGCGATTATTACAGTAGAAACAGATTCAGAAGACAGGTTAGCTCCAAATAAGAATGTGCTGAACACTTTTTATTGATTCAGTATTTTATAAATATTTTTCTACTCTATTCACCTCAATTCCTCATATAATAAATGATCAAATGTTAATTTCAGCTATCACTTTTATTCTGTAGTGGTTAAAACAAACAGTATATGTTCAGCACTTAATTCTTTGCTAACATGTGCTATGGGATATATATATATACTGTATATATTAGAATAGACTTCTAGAGTTAGGACAGGAAAATGCTTATGTAACAAGGAAACGTCAGTGACATTTTGTTCTCTTTCTGTGCTTCTCGAAGGGGAAGTCAGATGGTCAGGACTTTCCCAAAAAAAAAAGAAGACAGTTAAGAGCTGAGATAATGAGGTAAGAATGCCAGGAAGAGATAGATGGGAATAAAAAGTAGCACGGGGGTTGATCAGGCACTTTTTGCGTGGAGACCCCAGAGAGAAGATGTGCTCCAGACTACCTGACTTCCTCTGCAGAGTGACAAAGACTAAAAACTAACAAGGTGACCCTGTCTCCCGTCCTCAATCATATTTCAATAATATTGTTCAATAAATGATTCTTGGCACTGCAGTAATTTTCTCTGTGCATTGATTCTACCCACGACAATTCAATTTATCAACTTGTGATGCTGCAATGGACATTGGTTTCTCTCATACAACACACTGTAGTGCAAATCACAGACAAGCTAAATGTGCCACTTGGATTAACTGCAGATTTGTTTTGATTTTAGATATAAATTTAGGGGTATAATTTGCTTTTTTTGATTGTTGAACAATGTTGTATTATTTTTAACAAGTTAAAATGTCAACCATTGTTTAATCTTAGACTATGTTTTGTTAATTACTGATTTGTAGTAGTCATTTAGGAGGTAATTTAAGGTCAGATAAGGTCAAATAAAGTCATTTGAGAGCAAAGATGACTTATGTACACAATCTATGAATTTCTGAACATACTTTTTTTGATGACATCTTCCAGAGCTAAATGATGTTGGTGTTATGGTACCTTCTTCTCAGAGACACATGGCAAGAAACAGTCTAAACAAATAAACCCCAACTACTTTCATGAATAAATGCCACTAGAGGGGACTGACACAAAGCTGTGATTAGGAAAACATCAGGAAAATGAAGAATAAATGACTTCATGAATCAGTATTGGCGGGTATACAGGAAAAATCCTCATTACCCTTCACTAAGCATTTAAGATGCATAAAAGACAGCATGACCTTACTTCCTGTTGTTTAGATGCAGGCACTGGACCATGAGAAGATGCAACTGAATTATTAACACCGCACACACACTTACAAGAGTAGAAGTAAATCGAGTAGGATCCTGCAAGAGTAGTGACCATCCTAGCTGTCCTATGAATGCAGAATATGACAAATATAAATCAGATTTGAATATACTGTACTTATAAAGTTTTTAGATATTAATTAATATGCAGTAGACCAGTTCGTATGACAGACTTGCAATAGAGACTTTTACCAATATCTCCATCAGGTCTCGGACAGGGCTCTGTTAGCACTCGCAACAGACCGTCTGGTTTGTATGAGTAGTGCTCCACCAGCTATAATTAAAAAGAGAAGTTCACATATAAGCACCTTTGAGTATTATGAAAAGGGCTGTATAAATAAAGTTATTATTATTATTATATCAGGCACGCATCATAATTGTCAGGATTATATACAGCACATACACCAATAACATCATAAGACTAACAGTGTCATGTCTTTCACTCTTCAGAAGCTAAAATGGTCATTATACCCCAGAAGACAAGAGTTGACAAACTTGTTGTTTTTAGAGACTTATGAAATAAAATGTTTGTCCTGAGGGTGAAGCTAAAGGAAACGTCCTGTGAAACCTCTAGGGAGCATGCCAGACTGTAGTTACAACTGAGGACAGAGTTTACTTTATCAGTATTATTTCTCTAAATGCAAAAGTTTTAACAAAATTAGCTCAACATTTTGAGAAATACGCAATACACATTATTTTAAAGGTGTGCACATCATGATTTATATTCAAATAATTTCCTGAAATAGTTTTCTGTAAAAAAACATATGATTTTGTAACAAATTATGGGTAGAATGGAGAGTGATCAGTTGGTACACTTACACTACAATTACTTCTAAATTGCTAGAGCGTAGAACATGCTACACATACTAACTGTGAAATGTTTCCAGAAACAAACATACAATTTAGCATAAATGATAAATCGTTTTTTAATAATAAATGAATGAGTACTAAATATTCATTGGGGTTTAAACAGAGCAATTTCTTTAACAGAAATTTATCTGGAAACTAACAAAACCTCAACACAACTAACTGAATGAATTAAAACTAATTTTGTCTATATTTCTAAAGACTTCAGAGGACCTAGCTGTATATGTTAAAAAAAACTACAATTCAAAATAAGTTAAAACTACAGTAAATGATCATTAAACATTTATGAGATTGAAATTAAACTGGCACACTGTATTTTTCAGGAGCTTCATAATCCAAATACTTGGTATCAGATCAGGGCATCTCTAATAAAAAGGTTAATTTAACATTCTTTCTCTCCAAGAATACTGTAAAAAAAAAAAAAAAAACACTGTTCCACTATTCCATCCAGACCAGTGTCCTTGATGACTGTTAAAAGGAGTAACATAGGGTCTCTCTGTGTGAAAGTGGCATGTTCTCCCTGTGATTATCATGTAGGTGATAGCATTTATAAAACAATTCAACAAATAAATAATAGGTAAAAAAAGATTTAAAACAATCAGAAAATATTAAACATTTATTTGGTGGCTTGTCAAAAATAGGTAGGGGCTGTCTGGGAGAATTCGGACTTCTGACTTTAGTACATTTACATTTCTGGCCACAGCCACAAAGGAGCATAAGACCACAAATGCACTCAGCACTTTTCAGGACATTTTTCATAATGGGTGTCTATGGAACTATAACAACCATGAAATTGTGATATTACTTTTTCTGTATAAATAAAATGGGTGACTATGACAAGGTAACACCTCAGACAGCTGCTCAAAATCCTTTCAAACCTTATCCTGAGAGTCGTAGCTAAAAACCAAACTGAAAAACAAAAGATATGAAAATCATGTTAACCTGACACAGGGTGTCAAACTTCTTGCCATCTGGGATAGAGAGCTTCTGTGTCCTGTCCCTGTCAATGCGATAATGCATGACTTGTCCTTCATGTAGTAAACACAGAGCATAGGATCCATTCGAATCTCTCTCCCGAATCCTGTACACACATGAAGAAGAAAATGAAGGCATGAAGACAAAATGAAGACAAAGGTCGCAAAGTAGAGGATGGATGATGAGGATGGTGCAGTGGAAGAAATTTAGTCTGTGGTGCTCTGAGTATTGCTCAGCACTCCCTCTACAGTGGATGCAGATCACAATATCAACATAACCAGTAAGGTTTTCATTTTTAATACGTACATGGCAGTATAGTCATTAGCACTGTCACTTCACAACAAAAGCTGGGCTGTAAAATCCTGAGCAGAACTTCCTTCTCTATCCCAAATTTGTCCCAAAATTAATCTACATCATCCTCAATCTTACTTTTATCAACAATTGGACGGCCTTAAAATCAAGCCCTGCAGTGTACAATAGGGGTAGGGACTGAATTCAAGACTAATCTTTACCATGGTGTGCAATGCTTTTACACTTACGAAAAGAAACAACCATCATTTAACTTAACATACACTGTTTAACAAACACAAAGTTCCCACCACTCAACTTTGTGTGGGCTCTTCAGAATACAAAAAAGAAGAGTCTCTGGAGAGGGTTAACACTCAAACAATGCATGCTGGGAAGTCTGCCACCCCTAATAAAACAAACAAACCAAACAAAAAAAAAATGTCCACTTATCCTTTTGTCTAAATTAATCTAACTAAGATACATGGAGTTATGTATTTAAAATGAGTGTTAATATCAGGCTTAAAAACTGAGTCATAGTAGGTCTATCTAATTATTTTTGATTAAACCCAATTTTGCCATTTAGTGCACCTGTAATCTGAAAATTATCTTAGCTGTGACTGTTGTACTGCAGACTGATTTTATTTGTCACAGAGAGGCCAAACTGGCCTGGGGAATGTTTCAAAAGCCAGCTCTGCTCTACTCTGTCTACTGTTACAAATGTCACATATACTGTATATTACAGATATCATTTATTCATAAATAAATGTAACAAATAGAGTTACATGCAAATGCTGGTTAGAGTTGTGGGTGGAGGTGCACTGGGTGCATTTGGACTCCAACTATCTTTCTTTCTTGAAATAGCCTTGATTTAACTAAAGTAAATCTGGGGACTCAGAGTCAAGGACATTTTTAAATAAATTTAAGCTGTTATAAATGTTAAAAGGTTAACTGGTGCATCCATTCATAAATGGATGAAACAATTTTAACATTATACTGTAACTCACATTATAATGTAAATAAGAACTGACATTACAGTAATACAGAAAAACAGGAACTTAAAAGGGTGGCCTCTATATTATAATTTATGACTGTGCTGGGCCCATTTGCTGTAAAAACAAAAAATGGTAAAACATTAGAGAAATAAAAATATTATGTAGAATAACCAAGTGTAATAGTGTTTTTGTTAGCTGTTGCTGGCCACTCTTAGCAGCCAGAGTCTAAAACTTGCAAGAGAGAAACTTGTGCAGTGTCTGGAACACCCTCATAAAAATGAATTCAAAGTTACAATCATAACACGAGCTTGTATTTCAGTGGAAAAGTTTCCTTTTACATGCTTTATAACAAAAGGGGCTGAACGGTTACATAGCGGCCTGCTGACATTCTTCCTCTTATTTGGCTTCTTCAGGAAGTCCTTTGCAAACTGCCGGAGCGGAAACCACTGTGCATGTGTGTGTGTTGTTCAGTTGCTCTATAAATACTCTACACTCACTTTGGACAAATGTAACAAAGCAAAAAGCCCATTTTAACTATTTAATATGGCCAATGTAATGTAAATCAATACTGCAACAGGCTGTTGGCTTGCACAGCATTGCTATTCATTTCAAAACTCACACAATCAGAATGCAGATGTACATGAAAATTTCACCACAAAATTATAAAATTCAGCAGCATAGAGGACACATAGCACTACTGGTAGAGATGCAATTCTTAATGTACTTACTGTATTGTCTAAACCTCTGACTCACCATAGTAAATCATTATAGAATTGACATTCATTTTTGTGACCCTATATATCACTGCCCATGGCCAAGCAAAACAGAGCAAAACTTGTGTAAGATGTTTCTTGTTGACACAGACAAGATGTTAAGGCCCAGTGCCTTTCACTCTCTCACCAGTGCAGTTCTAATCATATCAATATAAGTACATGCAAATTAGCATGTGAAGGGACTTGTCCAGCTGTGGCTCGGTACTGTATATTTCCGAGTGTGCCTTTGGATTGGACCAATGGAAGCCAGCCAATTCTTGCCATTTGTTGTCACAGATTGGCCCAGCTTCTTCTCATCTTCCAATCACGTCCATCCAGCACCACTGTCCGGTTTAAAAGCTAAGCTCTACTGTCATTTGGGGCAACTGTGATTTAGAATGAGCTGAGGGCTGTTTCACAAAACCTATATAGTGGATCAACCTAGGATTTCCAGTTATCATGGCTGAGTTTAGCCATGACTTGGTTTCATGAAAGCAGTGGCATATACACCGATCAGCCATAGCATCATGACCACTGAGAGGTGCAGTAAGTAATTTTATCTTGTTACACTGGCACCTGTCAGTGTGTGGGGTACATTAGGCAGCAAGAGAACATTCAGAATCAGAATCAGAATCTGCTTTATTGGCCAGGTGTGTCGAACACACGAGGAATTTGCCTCTGGTACATCAGCTCTCAATGTGCCTCATTCAGCCCTCGAAGTTGATGTGTTGGAAGCAGGAAAAATGGACAAGTGTAAGGATGTGAGTGACTTTGATAAGGGCCAAACTGTGATGACTAGGACAGAACATCTGCAGGTCTTGTTGGGTGTTCCTGGTCTTCAGTGGTTATTGAATTATTGTGGAAAATAAATTGTGTGGAAAAACAACGGTTTATGAGGCTTACATGTTCTGTTCAGCAAGACAATCCTCACAAGTGAACACCACTTTAAGATGTTTGAAGCCCAAATACAATTACCAGAAGTAAAAATCTATTGTTAGGCTATAAACAAACGACACCACGGTCCCATGACTTCAACATCACCACCACGGCTTCCAACTTTTAATTAGATTTTTATCACTTCCCCATTCTAGAAAACCCTTTCTTCTTAGTTAGACCTGATCTAGCTACTGACCATGACTGTGTCAGTTAGTTAGAATAGTTTGCAAGTGCACGAGCTTAAAAATAACAAGGCCGTAAACTATTGAGTAGATGAGTCTCCTTTATGTAACTTTTTATTTTAAGACTAAGTGTTCTTTCTGGCTTTTGACTCCTTACCTAACTCCAAAGGAGAGCTGCACAAGAATTCTTATAGTCCTAGACTGTCTGTTTATGCATAAATGGCAAATAAAAATCTTGACTTGACTTGACTTGACTCCATGATGACATGTAAAATCCCAGACCGCCTCTGTAGTCTTATTTAGCCATTTGTTAGTAACTGCCTTTTTTAAGATGTAAAAGCATTAAAAATCACGCGTGGGGTATTTACTGACGTATTTTATGTCATAGAACAAAATGTGAAAATATACTGGCCTTGTATTAACCACAAACTTTATTTCAGATGTCTAACCAAAAACACATTCAAAAAAATCCATAAAACACATTCACTATGACCCAGATCTGTACAGAATCAATCACCAGTGATTGGCTCACAATGCATGCCGATTAGTTATCTCTCCAACTTGATCCCAGTTTGTTCTTACATAATGTCCATGTGGGCAACAATAATCTCACGGGATCAAGCTAGCTGCAGTTTTGGGAGCCAGGTGCCACAGATGCTCTCCAGCAACTGTAAGAGCTCGTGGTATGATGGGCAGCCTAAATACCTGATAGATCAATGCAGTGAATCTCGAACCAGCCTATACACTTCAGGTCAAGGGAACTGGAAGTGCAAAAATGCTAACTCAGTTCTGGGTTTTAGGGCTTAATACTATGGGACTCTATGAATATATAATGCTCATTCTACAAAAAGGTGGACGTGGCGTCACTTACTTTTGCAAATACCAAAATCCTATACGTTGACATGATAATCACATAAACTTTATCATTGCAATGATAAAACAAAGTTTAATCCCTCAATGTTCAATGTTTTTTAGCAATTTATTAAAATACAAAATTCAAGGAATTGTCTTGTCACTTTGATCACAGGCTTGCATAGAAGTGGAGCCATATACTAGTGGATTCATAACATTCAGAAGTTAGTTAATAGTATTAAAGACATTTTAGGTGAGCTGTGTACAGTAAGAAGGAATACAGTTCATCGGATTAGTACCACGTATATTCCATCATTTCTGTGGAATGATCCATTTGCAAGACACTCAAACAGCGCAATAATTGGCCAATTTTGGATACATTTGTTATATATATTTACACACTATTTACTGTTAACACCAAAGGTAGATGCTATACAAAAACAAATGTAAAATACTTACAGGAACTTTCCATTTGTACGGGAGCCATTTTGAAGCCTAGGCTCAGAGTCTTCACGTGTTATTGTTCCATGGAACCAGGGCATTCTTTCATGTGCAGTGGTGGCAATGAGCTTCTCCAGCTGAGGCTTCTGGCTGATGATGGCCTGCTCTAGAGCTGCCCCCTGCACACATGCATGATCTATGAGTTCACACTTACATTAAGAAGAGTATGTAGGTCAACGCAAATCTGTGGCTAGTTAGTATGCAACTTGGCTTTAAAAATATCATGTGCATGCAAGATGCAAATGAGTACATGGATGGTGAATGCCACATGTCTGGAAGTGAAGTAAGATCAGCAGCAGATTCTGAACAAACCACAAAAATGGCAAGACTGACCATCGCATGTGTATAGACACACATATGAGTTCACTTTGTAATTCATTTTTTTATCACTCAAGACTAGAGTTGGATACCAAAACCCAGATACCCTATGCAATCGTTATCTACCAGATTAAATCACAATGCAAATTTTGGTGCCTCATTTAGTACCCCCTGGTGCTGTGAAATGGACAATACACACAACAGAAGCATCACTGCACATCATCTGCTAATGCTATCACTTGAGAATGCTATAACTTGGAAGCCAGAGCTAGGAATGAATGGGAATGTTTTTTTTAATGTCGGCAACCTTCATTTTATGCAGGATATAAATTTCATGACAATCATGTGGCCATGGCCGTCGTTGCACTAGCATCTCAGCCATGATGCCCTGTATATCTGTTAAGTCACTCACGTAGGTGTGTGTTTATGGATGTATTAAGGAGAACGATGCTTAATAATGTCATTCACCTGGGAGCTCTCCTCATAATACCTCTGTGGTTCATGTAAGTTGGCAGAATATGCTGTAGAATATAAGATTATTCGTTCTTTAGCACCGTTTGGTAGCATCAACATTTTTATGAACTGTTTGTTGGCCTTGCGTTCAGTACATCTATGAGCTGTTTTTAGATCAGTCAAGCTAGCAGTGCTACAATAAGATTTCCTTTAGTTTTACTGGATAAGCAAATTGAAGGATTGATATTTGGCTCTGTTTATAACCTGTAAGAAAACTCAGAGGCTGGAAAATGTTACATGTCGTGTTGAAATGTACCATGTTTTCTCTGATATTTGAAATACTGCATATGCTAAATAAACACTAATACTGTCAATATTGACAACCAAGTGAAAACCTTAATAGGCAGCTATTCTGCATTTAATTTTAGTTTTCACCATGCTAGAAGTGATGCTGGCCATTCTGTCATCATGATGCCAGAAGAATATAATTATTGCACCAGTTAGAGTTATTAAGGGAAATTAGACGCCCTTTCCTCTGTTTTCTCCTTAATACATCCATGATTCTTCGGACCTGTGATCTTAGGCAACATCAGCAGAGAGCAACAAGAGCTTAGTATGATTTTGAGTCTAAATGTGCACAGATAACACCATTTACTTTCCAAATAATAATAAACTCATAAGTCTAAAACCAGCAATTTATGACAAGTTTGCCCAGTTAAGAAAGTTTGGCGAATCCAACTTAGATGATTCATATGAACAAGCCTCACAGGAAAAAATAAGAGAAGAAACTGTTTATGCATGGTGGCCAGTGTGCATTTGAGATAAGGCATTGTTGGTTGTCTGCCTGCTCATGCGTCTTGCCCTGTTTGACCAATTTTTATTTTTTTAAAATCTCAGTAAAATGTTATCATAAACATTAGGCAAATGGGCAAAGCTATAAAAATAAAGCCTGAACACTGCTTTTTACTGTTAGTCTGACTGCACTGCTACTGGTATTCTTGCACTGATGACTTCACATTCTACATATTCTGAATGACTTAAAGGATAGAGATTAGACTCACCTTCAGGTTCCAGGTCTGCGCTACATACTCCCGGATCAGTTTTTCCTTCAGGTCGTCAAATTGCCCCACCTTAGGCTGCATGTTTCTTGGTCTGTTGCAGGGCCTCTTCAGCAGACACACAAGACCATCTAACTCCTGGGAGTGGTAGTCAATCACATCCACAGGGCTCCTGTGGCTCTTACCACCAGCAATAGCATATGTTCCACTGGATTCTCTTTCAATGGTATAGTGGGAGCAGCGGCCTGAATATGACACAGACAGTGCAAAACCTCCGAGATAGTTTCGGCTTTGCCGCAGCAGGTACCCACCATCGCCCATGCCTGCTTGCCGCAGGTAGTCTTCCGCCTCTTCCCTGGTAATGCTGCCATAGAAGAATGGCAGTGTATTCACGCTGTCAGCCATGTTGGCTTCTGGATGGCGGTTCTCTTAAGTTCAGCCAGCAGGATGCAATAAACCTAAAAACCATAAGTAGAACCAAATAAAACTCAACTTCCATAACTTTACCTGCAGAGGAATATTATGTGATATGACTGAAAGCTCTAGAAAACCTACTAAATCTGCTCCGTGGTGACACTGTTAAGTCAACATCCTAGTCTTGACCTTTGTTTAAAACAATATGAGGACCATAATTAAATCCATTCACTCTCCAGCCATCAGCCCACATGTACACCTACAATCACAAACTTCATCAACTCTGATTATTTCTTAGTTTGTCAAAGTAGTTTCTACATTTTATCAAGATTCTAAAGTGGCTGGTTGTGGTAAAGCAGACATACTTAAACAAATGGTTCTACTCTATGTCTTAGTAGCCTGGCCCTACTAGACTGAAAAGACAAATCAGTATAGACAAATGCTCTTGCCTGTGATTTGTTGGGAAATGTTTTTCTTAGGGCTGTCCCCTGGAAGTCGATTAGTCAAAACATTAGTCGAGAGACCTGTCAGCTGACTTCTAGTTGAACCTTTGTTTTTATTTTATTATATTTTATTTTTGGCAGCCAATGTGCATTACAGTAGAAGGTAGCCTCAGCCCGCATTAGTTTGTTGTCGTCTTCTCCTCATGTTGGTGAACTAAGCAGCCATTGGCTCTCCTGTGGTTAGGGAGGCAATACTCACTTCAACAGTGATACTGTCTGATGCATGGATGTATATGTTCTGACACTATTTAGCAAACTGCTGCCCAGAACGAGGAGAAAAGAACAGCAAAATCCACTAGGACAAGACACAAAAGTGAGATTTGTATTTTGTTAGATGTGTTTTCAACATCATGGCCTATTTTTACATGAGAAAAGACTGTCGCGACAATGTGGCTGGTTTTCATATGTGTGTCCGGTTTATCCATCTCCATTAAAGTGTAACACACAGCCATTTATCTTATGTTTCTGTGACATGCATCCATCCAAATGGGACTAGGAAGCTAACAAAAATGTGTGGGGAAAACATTTCAACGAGGAATTATAAATCAGAGGAATCATAAATATTTACTCATATTTTTTAGCAGTGCAAGCTGGCACACATCAGAAGTCACAATGTGCTGTGGTTAACTGACAGAAGAAGCTTAAACTTGTTGGTAAACTAGGCTAAAATCATGTCTCAGAAATTAAAAATTGCCTATAAGAGCATTGTTTCAACAGAAATACAAATGTGCTGCCTGTCTTGTTATTATGACAAATCCATATGGTAGCTCGACAAGATAGTATGTCGTCAATTTAAATAGGTGATAATTTAAATCTTGCATCATATTGCAGCTGTCTTTATTGATTTTTAAATGCTCAGAAATATGTTCCCAGCAGTCTTTGGCATTGCATTTGATTATCAATGTTAATGTGGATGAAATCATCACTGAAATATATGCCAGTTGATTTTATGACAGTCTTGGAATATTCACGCTGAACAGCGGGCTGACAGTCGATTGACAAAATTCTTAGTCAAGTACAACCCTAAATTTTTTGCAGCTGCTTGACCAGAGTTTCAGTACGGATGTTCTAGTCTCAAAACAAATGTGAAAGTATGATAATGCCAGGACAAAATCAGGCATTTTACAAGGCAATAAAAGCCAAGCTCTTACTCAAGCAAAAATACAGACGTACCATCAGCTAAGTTTACTTTAAATATTAAAGTAAAACTACTACTTCTGCAGAAAACTGGCTCCTGTGAAGATATATGGTTATTTATCATGTTAAAATACTGTCACTGTAGCTGGTTGAAGTGGTGCTAGTTTGAATTGTTTCATACAGTTATGTAGTTAGGTAGTTTAATTCAGTAGTTTCCAACACAAGTACAGCACAGCTTTGTTTGGAAGTGCATTTTTGTGAAATAATGAATCTATTTGATTCTAAATTTGTTATTTAAATGGCACTTCTGAGATGTTTAGTGCTAACAACTCAGATGGAACAAGGGGGCTTATCTGCAACTGCCAAAAAATGTTGTGGAGTAAAAAGTATATTTACCTCTAAAATAAAGTAGAAGTAATTAGCAGCAGAAAATGGATGTATAAAGCAAAGTTTTTAAAATTTGACTTAAGTGTGGTAATTTAGGAAATTTACTTACATTACTTTTCTCCACCGATAAAGACCAAGAGCAAACACTTTTAACCATGAAAATAAAAGTACCTCCTGTACTCAATGTGTAACAAATTCATTCCTGAATCCTTAAATATTAATTTCATTTCCAATAAAAATCTATCCATAGGATAGGTAAAAAAAAACAAACAACAATATTAAAGCAATCAGGAAAACACATGAATTTCCAGGTAAAAGACGTCTGTAATCTCAATGAGACTTCCTGGTTAAATAAAAATATATGCATTTCATGACACAAGATTAATTACACAGGAGACAAATGAATAATTTGATCTCCTTTGACAGACTTTTTTTCTTGTTTGATCATAAAACAGTCAGTAAAGTGAGATGTACAATGGCACAATAAGTACAATGTACAATGGTACAATATAAGAAGAGGAACCATGATTTTTGAATTTCACATGCAAATTCAATGTTTTGAAACAAGAAACTGTGGTAGTAAAGTTCTAAAAGTCCATCTTAAAAAAGAAAATGAAAACACTAATACTGACTTACTGTATAATGTGGTGACGTTGTTGAGAGTTTGACCCTCTTCTACATCGCTTCCTTTCAGTCCTTCACCATATCAGCTGCAAGGAGTTTGAACAACATATGAACAGGTCATTTTAAATTCAGCCAGTTCCTGGCAGACATAAAATGTGCAGTTAAAACCACATGCAAACTCTTTCACTCACAGTTGATCCTGTCTGCAGCAGAATAACCGTCAGCCTGTACCAACACTGTGAAGTGGTGGAGCACTGAGGCTTCCTCATTTCAGCTACTTCCTTGATAATTTAATTTTTTTACTTCCTTTTTTTTTCATCTGAACACTGACCAACACGCTGGATGCAGGAAATGATGTGAGAACTGCAACAGACACAACTGACAGCACTAATTATTATTTTGATGAAATTTAGAAGTGTTTTAGTGTAGTTTTAAAATGTATTTTTTACTGAGAGATAGTGGTTGTTTGAATGTATTGCATGTGTTTGTGTTTTTCATATTCTATTTTAATCTATTATTGTTTTGGATAAGTATTTGTGGCTGCTTTAGGTTTCTTTAATTTTTATGCTTATGTGATCATTTTTCAATCAACCCATGATGATTGAATAGGCTATATAATTCATTTTAATGTGCTTTGACTTTATTTGTCTTTAAATTATGGCTCTATTAATTAACTGATTTATGAGATATTGTTAATATTTTTTCCATTTAAAAGTCATGTTCATATTCAAGTTTATTTGTCTTCTGATTTAGTAATTCTAATTTTGGTGTCATCCACACCTTTGCTTAAAGGCATGTGTATGATTTTAACTCTGTTCGTGTGTATGTATGTGCACACTTGTATAACCAGCAGTATGATGGCCAGTTTGAATTTTATATATAGTTTAGGTTAGGCAAAGGACTGGGTTTTGACAAGAATTGTGATGGTAAAGGCCAAGTTAAGAAGCTAGGGAATGCATGATGTCAGTGAGTGTCGTCACAAAGGTAGCTACACAAACGTGTAAACATACTGTGTAGAGCACTTTTTTTGTTCTGCAGTTGTTGTGAGGATATTTTTGCTGGTCATCTAAACTTCAAAGAGCTTTTTGAGGGTTAAGAGTTGGTTTTAGGGTTCAGGTGGGTATTAGATTTAGGCTACGTTTAAGTGTTGGGGTTAAGTATCTAGTTGCGACGGATAAGGTTAGATAAGGGGCTTTGAGTTTAGTAAGGCATGACTGTGTGTGTGTGTGTGTGTGTTCTTGTACTTGCTATATAGTGAGGACCAAAAAAGTACTTGTTTTGCTACAGAGTGAGGACATTTGGCTGGTCCGCACTTTGTGAACCACCTTTTTGAGGGTTAAGACTTTTGAGGTTTCAGCTTAGGCTTAGGGTAAGGATTATGGTTAGGCATTTAGTTCTGGTGGTTAAGGTTAGGGTAAGGAGATAGGGAATGCATTAGGTCAATGGGTATCCTTACAAAGATAGCAATACAAGTGTGTGTGTGTGTGTGTGTGTGTGTGTGTGTGTGTGTGTGTGTGTGTGTGTGTGTGTGTGTGTCTTCGAGAGGTTAGCACTGAGTACTGTAAGCAGGGACAGCCAGTCACCAGAACGTGCTTACCACTCAGGAAGTGCCGGCTGTCTTTAGTGTGTTTCACACTCACAGTATTGTCAGTAAAACACATAATGCCACCCTGAAGCTGCAGCCGTTTGCTGACTAGACATTATGCCCTAACATTCAGTTTATATTTAATTAAACTGAGAAATTAATATACATGTAAAATGTATTCCGTGTAACTACAGCGGGAGACATGACACCTTTGTATAACCTTTTGAGGACAAAGTATAGTTTTAAATCTTGAGAATGAGACATTTTCCGAAAGTAGTGGTTTATCATCTGGTTGTGACTTCTTCAAAGGGCTGTTCTAAGTATAAACCGTGGTTTAGGATGATTAAGGTTGGGGCATGTAGTTGTAATGGTTAAGGTTAGTGGCTAGGAAATGATGTATTTCACAAATATAGAAATACAAATGTGAGTGTACAAGTGCTGTGTTTGTGTGCATGTGTGTGTGTGTGTGTGTGTGTGTGTGTGGCTTCCTTTAAGCATCTTGTCTTTTATGAATTTTGATATTGATAACTGGTACATAGTTATTAACTTATAAAAACAATTAAATTCACAATAACTAAGATATATGTATATCTCTTGCTATACTATATTATACAAACTCTGTTCCAGTCTCAAAATCCTATACATCCTCACACTAGTCAGCTACTATATGAATAAGCTTATGATGACACATACTAAAATGTTCTAAAGCCTAATGCAACCAATGTTTTATTCACTCCCATTCAATATATAACTAAGCCGATACATTAATGTCACAATGCATTTTCTTATGACTATAAAGTCACTGAAAAATATTAGCAATCCATATCAATTCTCAGCGCAATCTCACACATTTTCTTCAAAAAATGCTTCTCTAACTTTCAAATGCTTTTTATCATTTATCTGACAGTAAAAAAAACATTATGAACACATATAAAACCTTCATGTTTTAGACTTATTGAAATATTATAGCCTTTAAATAGGCAAACAAACTAAATTAAACTGATGAAAATTGCAAAAAATTAAATTAAATAAAACTTGTAAACTTTTAAGTCAAGTACTTTCTTGATCATCCTGCAGTGATCCAAATCGCAGTGCCATAGTGTGAAGGAGAAGAGCAGGTCACTCTAAAACACAGCTTGAAGACGTTATGCAATACTATGACATTTTAAACTCAACAGGCTACATGCCG